ACATGCAAGAAATCACAATGCGGCTCTTTCCGTACTTCATCATAAAGCAAAACCTGGCAAGGGTCAGAGAAAGCAACAAAGGAATGCAGGAGAGAGAAAGCCAGCCAATGGATTCATGAAGTAAGGGGAGTGTCAACAGAGACCTCCATACTAGGTTTTTCTTTAAAATTTTCCTTTGCAAAACATGGTTGATAAAATACACCCCCTCTGCAGTGATTTTTGTCAGCTGTACACTCTTCTACAAGCACAAAGGGTACCAACAGAAGTCAGCAAGCTGGGAGGGTGTGTGAAATATAGACCCCGTGTAATGTTTGTAAAGATCAATTTGCTGCAGCCTTGGCCTTTTAGTGGTTGTGGCTTGCTTGTGCAATGATAGCTCCTAAAAGGGGCTGTGAGCACTCATTGCAGGACATCTGTTCTGCAGTGGCAATGGGGGCAAGATGCTGCTACCACACAACCTTCATTTGTGGTTTCACTATGCAAAGTGGGTGAGTCATTGCTGACAGACCCAAGGAGCTGTTAGCCCAGGCATGATCAGTGTGCTGACAGCAGCAGCCATTCTTCTAGATAATGATTATTACCAAATATCTCATTTTTTTTTCTGGCAAATTCTTTCTCTCCACTTCTATGATTCTTGAATGCTGGGAATTCTGGAGGCAAAATCTCCCCTCATCCCCCTGCCTAGGTGCCATTTGTGGGGGCATCTTCCCCTGCGCTATGGTGGTTATTACAAGAGGACTACAAGGTTATAACAAGGAACTGAGCCAGTCTGCAGAAACCTGCTAATTAACTTTGGGACACAATTGGTTGTATATTGTAGTGGTAAACAATTTTATCAAAAGATACCCAAGATCAGCAAAACCAGCTCCCATCCTCTCTGACTCTAGGTATACAGCCTGTGCCTGAATCCAGTAAAGAAGCCCTGGCAGGCAGCATTTTTGTACCAGTGTAGTCATGGGTTAGTTTTGGAAAGCGCTTGGTGGCAGCCCAAGCTTGGATTGGCTTTGGCAAGGTGAGCGTGTGGGCATCGGTCCCCAGAGTGCACTGCCATCTGCTGCTGGTGGCACTGGGGAGCTTCACTGCCGTTTGCCAGAAAATGGCTACGAAACACTCGTGGTCAAACCCCACGTGCTTAAAGACAGCTCACAGTCATGGGCCAGATGGACTTGTCTTGTTTCTTGCAGTTCCAAAGACACAATATACAAATACAAATATAAAGATTTACAAGTCACATCCTAAACTAAACATAAGTTTGGGGAGTGATGCTCCAGTGGGGAGAAGTGCTAATTAGTGACACCTTCTGCTACAGAGCCCAGCAACAGACGGGTCTTACTGTAAATGAGTGGTTGGTCTGGAAGGACTATGCTCTGGGGAACCTGCAGGAGTTAGATGGATTTAACTACACCAATTGGTAATAATCTGTGGGCAATGAACACAAGAGCTAAGATTTGTCAACTAGCAGTACAGACAAAATGACAATAAAATATGCTTTGGAAAAATTACTGCAGGGTTTTATCTTTTTATCTTTTTTTTTTTTTTTTTTTTTTTTTTTTTTTTTTCTTTTAACAGTACAACGGTGAGGTGATATACATCCTTCTCTTGGCAGCACTGGAAGAGAATTGGACAAAAGAAATTTTCCAGGTTCTGCCACAGACCCTCTATGAGATCTTAGTCAAGTCACTGAGTCTTGCTGTACTTTGTAACTTGAGGACAGTAATATTTCAGTCCTCTCAATGTCCTTTGTCTGTGACTTTTCTGGCAGAACCTCTTGATCTGCATTTGCCATCACTAGCCTTCAGGCAGTCTCAGGGGGAAAAAAAAAGCATTCTCCTCTCCAAAGTTGGAAAAATTTTGCTGAAAATCTCTGGTTAGAACACTTTCAATTTTCAAGCAGAATCTTGAAACTTTCTAAGAAAATCAGAAATTTTATAGAATTTTTTTTCTTTTTTTCTCCCCCCCCCCTTTCCCCCCCACCCCTTCTCCCTGATGAAGAGAACCTACCTAGTTTTCTGCTGTTACAGTATTTTGCAAAACTCAGAAATGGAGGAGGCGACCTGCTCAAATAACTGGATACTTTCCCCTTTTACCAGCCAACTGTTAATTTTAGGCAAATCCCTTAACTCCTTTCTCCTTATGAAAACTCTTAGAATGTAAGTGACAGGATGACGCTGCTGAAAACCATGGAAGTTGGGTACAGAAGCTAGAAAACGGAACATCAGATCAGGATTTTCCTATTAATGAAAAGAATTGTAAGACTTTATATGCACCAGTTCTTACAGCTGTAACTGGAGCACTGCAGTTGTTTTTGGAAGAACACATTCTCCTGAATTTAACATTTTTGCCTTCATAAACTCTCCTTATCCTCTCTTATATATTATATTGAACTCTGTTTATTGTAAATACACAGTTTATAACAAACCTTGTTCAGAGGCCTGTGTAGGCAGACTTTAGTCAAACAGGAGACAAAAAGCTGTTGGGAATCATTATGCTAGAATATTTCTCTAGTTATAAAACGTATAGTAGAAATTTGGTTTTATATTCCTCTAAAGATAGCAGTAAAATAAAACATTTTTGTACAGCGATTATGTTACATTTGTCCTTCACTTGGTGTGGTAGTCCAAGACTGGTGATGTGATACAGAAATGTCAGTAAGAAGAATGAGATAAACCAGTGATAATATCTCATTAAAAGTGAAATCTGAACAATTATAGTTCCACCTTTTACTGGAAGGACAAAGGTAACTTCCCTCAAAATCTCCTATGTTATTTTGTCCTCTGACCGTGGTATCATGAATTTCTCAAGTTCCTTTCAAATGCTTAGCTGTCTTATGCACTGTGATTTTATTTTTTTTTTTTTTTTGCTGCCAGAGAATTAGACAAATTGGAAAAGAACCAAAAATCAAAGTCCACCAACAGCTGTGAAACCTGTAAATACCAAATGTATTAGCATAATACATTATTAGCCTTGATAAAATAAGGGCGTTTTCTTACGCAGACTTATGAATACCTTTCTCTAAGCATCACAGGCAAACATTTCAACACAAATTCACAGGCTACCTCTCCTCTGCAATATCTCTTCAGGTGTTCAGCACAGATATGCATTAAAGTATCAGCAATGGGAAAGATTTGTCAGACAGCATTATACTAACTCAGAACGTGTAACTTTGAAAATCCCATTCTTGCAGAAAAATACTAAGGCCATCAGGGTTTCCTAAATTTGATACTCATGGAACACTAAAAAAAAAAAAATTAGGTGTACAGAATTGAATGCGTTATCACCTGAAGGGTATCTATGGCATAGTCTACAGTGAGGCAGAATTTTCTTGTCAGTGCTTGTTAGTTGAAAACCTACACAGTTACAGTCTTAAAAATTGAAGGAAATCTTTCACATAATTTTTACTGCAATTTTTTTCAGTCAGTATTTTCCTAACAACAATTTTGCCTCTAACAACTTTTCCCACTTTTGCTCATCTCTAGACTAAAAAAAATTCACATTTTGGTTATGTTGCTTTAAAAAGATATATACATAGGTGTGCATATGTATATACATGTAACAGTACCATAGCATTAAATATATAGTATCCTGAGGTATTGTATATATATAAAGAGGAGTTTTGTATGGGTAAAACATTTGGAACTATAAATTCAGAAAATGAGGTTCTAGCTTGAAACTTTAAGAAAATCAGACATTTTATAGAATTTTTTTTCTTTTTTTCTCCCCCCCCCCTTTCCCCCCCACCCCGGAATCTTCATTTTATATCAAGAAAAAGCCCCCTCTATCCTATTATCTGTAATAGCCAAGCCTGGTGGACATATTTCTGGGATGTGTGACTCCTGTATTCAAAAGCGGACAGAGTACAGGTTAAAATAGGTCTTCTCTATTTCAGTGAATGCCCTGCACCCTCTGGTGTTGGCTGTAACAATACAGAAGCTCTTTCCTTGGCATTTCCTTTCGAGTGGCTCAGGCAGAGGATTCCTGCTCAGCGGGTTGAAATGCTTCCTTTCTTCTGGCACTCCACTGAGCTTCCAGCTTCGCGTGTGAACCCAGGCAGATCCCTGCAGGCTGCAGGCTCTCCCAAGTGATGGAGAGCCATGCAGCTGGACCCCAGTCCTTCTGCAGAGACAGCCCCAAAAGATTAAGGTGATTTTTAAGAAAGGACCCCTCTGTAAATAGACTTTCTTTCCTTACCTTCTGTAATGAAATCCCTTAGGAGTCTGACTTGGCAAGAATATTTGTCACCACCAGTCACACAGTTTAGGAAAATGAGGATGCAAAGAAATCACTCTCTGGTCTGCTCTGTAGGAATAGCACCCCATCCTCATTTTCCTTTTCCCTTTCCCTTCTGTATTTTTAAAGGATTTAGGCAGTTTCTATCTTCACTAATCTGACTGCACCTATGTGACAGGGCCACACCTCTTGTCTGTCCCCACACACTTGCACCAGCTCAACTCCTCAGCTTGTTTCAGGCTGCTGTTGATGGTTGCCTGATTATGACCTTTCACCAGCTTTCGAGGCCCTGTATTTTCTGGTAAATCCCAATGTGACAGTTTACGGAAGGAATGTGGATGTCAGGGAAGCTGTCCAATTTTCTGTAGTGGGAACTGGGGACATTTAAGTCTCACAGGTGTCCTGCTAATGCCAGCAAGACCCAGGAGTCAGCAGGGTCAGGCAGTGGGGAGAACTGTGGCAGGGCAGGACTGTGGCTGACAGAAGGGCTGCATAGGCCCATGTGAGCCCCCGAAAACATACTCAAGAACCAGAGAGTAACAATGCTCTGTCCCTGTGTGTACAGGTGAAGCTTGGGAAATTGCCACAGCTCTTCATCCTTTCCTTCTTCCCTAAAACACAGCTGTCAAAAGCGTGAGTGGATACTTGTATTTTGTGGGATAAGCCTTTACTGAAATACTTGACATTTAGTTCATCTGCTCATGTAATTTTTTCTTTTCAAAGGGACATTATACTTTTCATGGCCGTCCCTTGCTGAGTTCTCTAAGCCATTTTTAAGAAACAGTCCATGTAAGTACAACACTCAGGCAAAGGCTCAGGCCCAGGCTGCTGGAGGTCAGCATCACAGCCCCACCTGGGAAGTACTTCTGATCAACATAGTCTATGATAGTTGTCACAGCCAACATAGTCTCTTCACATGTGGGTTGGATCTGGTCAGGGGGTAGAACAAATCCATGAGTACCCTTGTCTCGCAGTTCAAATGTGTAGGAGAAAGGAATGCCAATCATGTGAGCCCAGTCCCGTGAGGAGCCTGAGTTACTGTCTGTGAATTTAAAAATAGAGGGGAGAGATATGTATTAAGCACAGTTCTTTGAAAACACTTCTTGCTATAGTTAATGCAAGATTATACCAGAATCCCTGAACTAAGCAGTAACCGTATATCACCATGACATGGAGAGCAGAGTTTCTAGGTGCTGCAATTCTTAATTGTAGTAAAAGTTTCACTTCCCAAGTGAAACAATCCTCCATAAGATGGTATTATACAATAACAGGAGATGAGTTCCAGGGATTCTGTGTTTTTAGCATTTTCCTGTGATTAGTGTGGGGTACAAGATGGACTGGCCATTTGTCTGTTCTGGTACTTCATCTCCTACATTGACACTGCCTGGAATTTCTTTGTATATTTGTTTTTAAGCGTAATTTTGGTCAAGTCTGAAAATTTTCTGGCTATTCCCTGTATCACTGTTCATCTGCCTCATGGATCTTTTTTCTTACCTATTCAGTGTAAGTACAAACCCTGGAAAAATGCAGTCCTAGGCATGGACAAGTTACCTTATACTTACACCTCATTGCCCATGCAGTAGGTGACTTGTGTGACTCAGGGACTGGCAGAGACAGACGCTGTGAATATGCAAAATCTCATGGGTACTGGAGTCAACTACTTACTGTTCTGAGTGACTAGTGTGACTTAGTGCTTACTGGGAAAAGATTGGGTTTACCAGACAGTCTCTAGGGCCCTCTAGTCTGCTACGTAAAGGCTGTCAACTATTATCAGCCGTGATGGTGTGTTCGTGGTGTGTCTATCCAGTCTATTAGGAACAAGGCTGAAACCGACCTATTTCACACAGAACTGCAAGCAGCTGCCATGTGATAATGTCTGATGGAGTAACTACAGACCTGATTGGGATTTTAATTTTTTCTTGACTCCAGTGAAGACAAATAGGAGTTTTGCTGCTGACTTCAGCAGGGTCAGGATGATCTATCACCAATCTCCTTCTGTCCCCTGTGATGTATCTGCGAGGAATTCATGTAGGAACTAGCTTCTGATCAATGCTTCCTTCCTTCCCGCAGTCAGCTTTATAATGTACAGTGTTATCTTGTATTCAAATGACTGCTGCTTAGATGTTCCACCGAACCAGCCCATTAAATATTACTCAAAGAGGAAACTCAGCAAAACAGTACTTACTGATGCCTGTGACACAAGAATGACTCTCTTCTTTGAAAAGCAGAGCAATCAAAGGGAAACATAAAGAAACTTACATAAAATTGAAGAGGTTGATCCTACTTTATATCTGGTCCCATACTTTCCCATCAGGGCAGCAGCTGCTTTCTCTGCAACTTGCATCTGTGAGTTCAAAATGGGAACAGCATTGTCATGGGTGCCAGTACATGTGGCAATCATTTTGAGTGGACCAAAATTTTTGTCTTTTTCAGCTTTACATTTTTACTTGATCAGCTTTAAGTTTCGATATTATTAGTTCAGGACTTTAGAAAAACCCATTAAAAAAATTTGGGCAAATTGTTCTTGATTTTTTTAATGCAAATTATGTTAAATTTTTTAAAAGGACTCTGCTATTAGGTAGAGAAGATATTTACTTTGTTGTAAAGCTAGAGGACTGTATTTTGGAGAATTAGAGTCTATGCTGTATAGCATACTGATACTGACTACAGCAGCAATTGGTCTCTTACACTTGTTATATTGCCAAAGAATCTGTATCCCACCATCTTTAGAAACTGAGCCATAGACAGACTAAATGACTTCTCCAGTGATTCATATGAAGGCAGGACCGAATTCCCTCATAGTGCTCCAGCTACAGGAATGTTCATAAACACATGTGTTAATGAACTCAAATTAGAACACTCAGAAACCAAGGGGAGATGTAACCAATGGGTGCCTGCTTTGCTCCCATTCTCCTAATGAGCACGTTTGGAATACCCTTTCTGCACACAATCATGACAACCATGTGTATGAAATGTGCTGGCATCCTAAAGGGCAAATGCTTTCTTGTATGCAGCAAGAACTTGGTGCTCTTCTCCACTTACCTTGCATTACTATCTGTAATAGTTCAATTTTCCTGATTTAAGATGAAGGATTAGGATTAATTGTGAGGCAAATAAACCTCGATGAGATGGAGCAGCAGTGACTCTGGGAGCCAAGCCCCTGAATAAGCCTAGGGGCTCAGAACGAAAGGCAAGAGGGCAAATAGAGTTGTGCCACATGCTACTGCTTGTACTTGTTCTCTACAAGTGTAGAAGATGAATGTTTTGCCCTACCAGTTCTTCACTGTTACTTGGAGGTTTAGTTGTGGAACCATAGGGAGTGAGGATGTACTGTCCATAGGAGTGAATTGTTAAATAGCACAAAATGTCACTCTTCTTCCTTTTGATAAACTGAGCCACAGCTCTTGTCTCAGGCTCTGATTCTGGTCCAGATCCACAGAAGATTTCACTGCTGCAGTTATAAGAAACACCAATACCTGGAGAGGAATACAAAAAGTGAATCAAAGGAGAGACATATAAACACCGGTTCAGAGGGAACAGGAAAGTTTACCTTGGAGTGTTAAAGCGTGTGTTTATGTGGGCAGGGAGACTAGACAGCTCAGTGGGACTTTAACATTTTACTCTGCTGGTGTCAACTAAAATTTGCTACAGGGCTGAAATATTTAACACACATTTACTACAACAAAAACTCTGACACCACCATAGCGAACCACCTGCCAGGGAAGCTTTGGAGGCTCCTTGAAATTCATGGCAAACACAAATACTGGCTGTTAAGTGAATAACTCCTAACATTGCTGCCTAGAGCTGATGCTTGCTCCTGCAATGAATTAGAGGTATAGTTATATAAGCAGCAATTTTCTGCTCACAAAAATAAATGCCAGTTGAAAGTCAATGACTTAATATTTTTACAAGTCAGGTTTTTATTTTTACATATGCCTTGATGACAAGGTGAGTATTCCATTCTTATAGGACTTCCTTTTATTTCAGAGACTAGTTATTACTCTTGCTTTACATTTGTGCTGCTGATCTGAAATACTTGGAACTTACTGCCCCAGGAGGAATTGAAGTTCCGGTTCAGGTCTGTCCCGTAGCAGGTGCCATTCATATGTGGAGAACGGTTTTTCCTCCACAAACGTTCCTAAACAAAAGTAACTTCAGTTACATAACAACAACTCAATGATCCATAGGGCCTAGTGATAATATGGTGTAAAGACTCCTTTATTTTAGACCTCTGCATTCTGAGTAACTCTTGCAGTTTAAGAGTGTAACTCTGCGTGCAAGGGTGATAAAGCTTAGTGATAGAACATTTTATCTACTACAGCCAGGCAGTCATATTCCACAAGCCTGCATGCACCTTAAAATGAGCCTGCTGAGCTTTAAAAAAAAAAAAAGGTAGCATTCAGCTGCTTCTGTTGCACTCCTAAGAAGGACTTGGCATTGTGAGGGATACCTCTATGTCCAAGAGGTGACAGCTGAACTTACTTATGTTTGTTTCAGATTCAAGACGATGAGTGGGTTTTTTTGTCAGCTAATCTTGCTGCTGCTCCTTGGTTCCCTGCTATACTCACTGCTATACTTGGTTCTGTGCAGACCTCACTGCACTGCCTGTATGAGCTTCCCAGCTGAATTACTGAGTTACCTATGCATGCAAGTGCAATGTGTGGTATGCCCCAAACCTGCTGGGGAGCAAGCTGGGAGACGGCAGGATCCACATGGCTGTAGGCTAAGCCTGTTGGGCCATGCTGAGGTCCTACATTAAAAGGTGTTTTGACTGGGCTCAGGAGCCTGGAAGCATGATGAAAGTTGCTGAAGACCAACATTTTGCATTATCCTCCATATCAGAAATGGAAGATTATTTGGGAGAGCACACCTATTTCAAAACCAAATACCCCAATATTTGACCAATTCTCCTCTTGTCCCATACTGAAAAGGTGCTTAGACCCATCTGCTAGTTGAGACCTCTTGCAAAGAATGACTGACTCCTCCAGACATGCCTAACTCCATCAACCAAGCCTTGAGCTCTTAGCAGAGAAGTAACTCCATCCCCAGAAACACAAAAGCAATTGATCCTGTGGTTTTGTCCTTCTGTCTTCCCAAGGCTCATGACATTTGCTAGGAATTTTTAGGCCTGTAATCTCAAGTGACTGCTGATTTACCAGAAGAAACAAAACCTCTTTGCCATGAGAGGATTTATGTGAGTAATGATTCTGTCAGTGTTCTCTGTTTAAATATAATTGCTATGATTGTATCTAAAAATTAACAAAACATGCTGTGCACATCTAACTTTCCATCTAGTTTCTGGATTTTCACTACCTACTTTTTCCCAGGAATAGATGTAGCCATCAATATTGAGAACTGGCAAGACATAGAGGTCCAAATTTTGCAGAAATCTCCTTATCTTTGGGTCAGATTTGTAATTTTGAAGAATCTGAAAAGAAAAAATACAGAGGATTGAACAGAGAATCTAGTGGTAATCACTGGAAAGAGCTAGTTTAGAACTATCATCACAGTATCACTCACTCTTGGATATCACCACGGTATCCAAGATCTACTTGATCCCCAGATATGTTGAGTTATCTACCTTTTCTCATTCACAAGGTGACAGTGTATCCAGTTATTATAATGTACTTCATATGGATACAGTCTTACAGGCATGGAAGCTGCATGATAGCACGCACCCGTGCACCAGGTACTTTCAGTACACGTGGAACATTGCTATACGATATCTTAGGGTTGCTTTATTCCAGGGGGACTGTGGTTTGAGATGCAAAGAGGCTTTATCCAAAAGCCACTGTGGGAAATGGAGAGATTGCGATCAAGTTCAGTGGCTTTGGAATCAGTTCAGGTAGAGGAAACAATGCACTGTCAAATATTGTCCTATATCTCATCTCAAACTGTGATCTGGACTTAGGTCTCCATGGATATCTGAACTAGGTACTAATTTTGAAAATCATATTTTAACAGAAAAAGCATAATTCTTGGTACCACAATAGAGAAGAGAGCTGAATTATCCAAGGTTATATGGGTTTTTTATCATATAAGTAGAAAAGTAAGGACTCACTTCTTTCACAAACCACTGGCAGAAGGCTGGAGAGATCCATTCTCTGGCATGAATCCCACAGTCCATCCAAATGATCTTTTTGGTTTTATCTGATGGTTGACTGATCTGAGAGAGTGTAAAAATGATAATTTGGAAAACTGTTACCTTGCAATAAAATAGCCTAGCATAATACTGAAAGAAAAGGATGTGCCTTGATATGCCATTGAGCCATCTGAGATTATTATTATTACAGGCATCATTATAATGAGCTCTCCCTCCTAATAACCTGTAGTATTACAGGGCAAGAGTTTTAAAGTGTCTGTGAAGCCAGAGTGTCAATAAAACAGTTTCTTTTTCATTTATATTAGTCATTTGCAGGACTGGTTATTCTTACTTTGAGATTTTCTTTTTTTAGAAGGTGAAGCACAAAAAGGCAGGGAATCTAATTTTACTCAGTGATAGGAACAGATTAGACAATAACTAACCCATTTATTAAGACTATGGTTTTTACTAGAGCACCCAATAAAAAATGTCATGGAATACTCCTAGAAGAAAGGCTATATGCTGTAAAAAGTAATAAAAACAACAAAACAAAACTCTTTATCCTCACAGACAGCTGTTGCCAAGCTCGTTTCAGCTTGATTTGTATTTCTAAACAAGACTTCAGTTAAATTTGTTGTTTTTACTGCATAATAGCAATAGCAAGGTTGTGGTGGTAGTGTATATGAAAGTTGGCAAATCTTACTGTACTGTAGAGGAGTAAAACCATCTCCTTATTTCAAAGAATTGGGAAGAGCAGCGTCTTAGGAAAGATCCAAATCCTGTCTTCTCCTGTGTACTTTTTTGTGAAGATACTTTTTATTAATTCTAAGAAAATTCTTCCCTTACCTGCAAATAATACATTGTTCGATTCTCAATTGTCTTCCCCAGGTAGTGCTGAGTCACCAGCTCACTGTTGCTTTTCTGGATCTGAGTCATCCATTGATAAATCTGAAACAGTCACAGAGAATTCTTCATCCGAAGTGGGAGTTTGCTTCTCTTCCCCATCTCCATTTCCAGATTAAAGCATTTTCTTTTGTTTAGACAAGCAATGTTTTCCTCAGGGCTTATTTCAATCTGTGATATCACTTAACGCTCATGGAAGGCCTTTCACTTGCCTCTGAGCAAAGGCATGGTCATATCTCACTGGGTATTAAAAGATAACATCACTGCAATACAACACTGATACTCTATTCTGGATTTCATTCAACATGGCCATCCTGTTGGGCATCTTTATGTTGACTTCACCAGACATGGAGCCACACCATCAAATCTGCAAAACAGTATTACAGTCTCTTCCCTATCAGTACTGATTTTCCACATCTGAGTTCAGCAGCAGTCATCCCCAACAGGTAGCTCAAACAAAATATACATGAGGATCGACTCTGCTCTCTTAGTCTTCTTATGTGGCTAGGAGGAAGAATACCACCGTCTTCTGCCTTTGTCCAGGCTTACCCACTGTCTGTGAAACATAGCGCCAAGAGGTCTTCCCTACCCACTCTCATGATATTATTTTCTCCTGAAGTGTCAAAAACCTGTCCTTAAATTACTTCTTTCTACAGGTCTCCCACTGTTCACCTCTTCTTCCTCACTGGGATTCTGGAGACTGCAATAGTCACTGGACTTCACATTTGGCTCAACATCAAACATACTGGGGCTTAAATGAATAAACACTAAAGAGAATGATAAAGCATAATAAGGTATAAAGGAAGAAACACAATCAACTGAACTCCAGAATAATATTTGCAAAAAAATATGGTTGCTTCACACAGAGCATTTAGCTTTTGGTCAGGGAGGAATTGAAGATTTAATCAAGATCAATGGCAAATTCATGCTCAATTCAACCAGGCCAAGATTCTAGTCAAAGTGTAAGGACTGATTCTGCAAAGAAGAAAGCCAGAAAGAGCTCCACTGACTTCAGCTGAGCTTTCTGCAAGCACAGAGTTGCTTGCTGTGGCATTACAAAATAGCAGCAACAAAAAAAGTAAGCAGACTTGGGTTCCTCTTTACCTCTTCCATTGGATGATATTGGGTGTAGACGTAACCTTCTGGGACCTGCCTGTGGCTGGGCCCCCCCCCCTGCGCATGCTCTGATCCACCAGTTCCTGCACGTCAGGTATTAGGACTCTGAGGGGAGGGGAGAGGGGGAGATAGGAAAGAAAATAACCCCTAACAATTACTGCAGAACTATCATGGTTGGGTACATCAACAAATGAAAGGATTTAGCCTCTTCTGTTGTGGACTGCCTGGCAAATTCATTACCATCAGCATAATGGTTACTTTCATGTAAGGTAAAGTTCAAAGTACTGAGATTTCCACTGGTTTTTAACAATAAAGTAATAATTTACTAGATTTTTTTTTTTTAAGATTTACATTTTTCTACAAAAAATGTTCAATATCTTTCTTTTCTTCACTGCTTCTACTTCTGGGCAAAACTCTAAAATACCACCTTTTGGGAAAAGGAGGGAAAAGTGAAAAATTTAAGATTAGTGTTTTATTGTATTTTATGGAGACATTTTCAATTTGCAGAGACCTCACAGAAGTATTCATTGCAACTTGAAAAAATCAGAAGAAACCCCCTCTTCCCTTCAGAAAGCTCTTCCTGCTTTTTAGCTACAAATTAGTTCAGAAATGAGTATAGCACAGGCGTGATTCTATGATCAAGGGCATCAATAAAACCTTTTCCTTGGCTTCAGAGGACTTTGGATCATACACTGTTCTTTCTCACTGCAATCAGTCCCTTTTAACACTTTTACAAATCTGTTGCTCATTGTAAACGCTTGCGATAAGACAATTGCCAAGGTAGCTTAAACATTGTTGATTTCAAACACTGTAAGTGCTAATAGGCTATTCTGCTGACAGTAGCACCCGATCGGCATTTCTGGAAACTGCACATAAGAAACTTTTAAGAGTAGTTACAGCTGACTTTCACTCTGAGCTTTGATGTTTATTCACATCTGAACTTCAAACTAAAATTCAGGCAGTGCAAATTCCCGTGAACTGAAACCACACACGCAAAATGCCTTATCAGAGCTCTGGAGAATTGAAATCCCAGAGTCTGACACAGTCAGAATATTGATGTCCTGATTATAATTTGTCATTTATGTCTCTATCATTATATACCTAACTGTCATGTTACCTTCCTTGCATGTCAACTGCCTTCTAAAAGGTGGTTCCTGCTTTGAATCTGTTATAGGAACTTTAACTCTAGCATTGCTGTACTCATCTCAACCCCTTTGCAATACAAAGCCAAAATTTCAGCTTGACTGTTAAATTACCCACCCCTTTCTTTAGGACCCTACCCAAGGTGGATACAATTCTGGCCCCAATCCAAGGGAAAAAAAAAGATTAAGCTGCTAACTTCAGTTTAGTTTTTAAATTTCTGCTAGAATCAGTTGAAACCATTAGAAAATGAAGAGTCTCAATATAAATAAGAGGTTAAATATCTTCTGGAAAGTTGTCTAAGCCCTGATTACCTAAACCTGATGCTAGATCATTTGTACTGGCTCCCACCTCATCTCTCTCCATCTCTGGTTGTCAGGGCATCATACTTACTAAAAAGAATTTGTCAGGCAAGATGCAGGATGTCAAGATCAGCTTTAACTCTAAACAGGTTTGAAATGGCACCAATCCTCCTTTAACTTATCTTTGATTGGTAAATACAGTGTATGTCCATAGGCCATTTGTCACCAGCCCTGAATGACTACAGGACAGCTTATATGAAATATAGGTAGCTACCGGTTACCTGAAAAAATCAGTTCCAAATGGGAATGGGACTGTGTGAGGAACAGATCTTATTTAATCCCATTTGGCTTTACAAACACTTTCTATCTGGATTAGGTCTTCTGATTGGAAGAATTGTGGCAGTTAGTGAAGATGTGTGGCTGGGTAGGTGTGGTAAAGCATCATGGGCCATTTGCAGCTCGTGGGTCCTGACTGTGTGGCAGTGGGGACCTGACAGCCGGACCCAGGGTGGGATGTCTCTGTCTGTCTGGACAGTGCCAGGAAATTCTTACCAGCCTGGCAGGGGGTGGGGGGATAGGGGTAGGACACTGCTGAATGTTCAATTTGAAAGGGCTCTTCTCCAAACCAGAGGAGCAAGAAAAGACAGGGATGGGAAAAGGAGAGCTACAGAGACTGCTTCTCTGCAGTGACACTGATTAAAACTTTGGGCTTTCCAAAATACAGAGGACCCTGTGTTCAAGTATCCATGCTTGCCAAGAGCAAAGCATGCTCCTATAAGCAGTGGTTGTACCAAGTTTGGCTTCCTGACTTTAGACTGAAAAACTGAGTCACACGTCTGAGCGCCATCCTCTGCCACTGAGAAGGCAACAGCAGGAAACAAGACAGATTGGACTGTCTCAGGTCCCAGCTCCAAATTCACAGTCCAGGCTAGCTGGAAGGTGAATAAACAGGGCATAGGGGAATGTGGTTTTAAAACTCAAAGGTATATATAGCATCTGTGCATTGGGCAGGTGAAGGTAAATTGGAAGCACTTGGAACAAAGGTTGAGTCCTATCATCAGTACTTGCTGATGGTTCATTGGAAAGGGCTAGGTCCTTTTATGATAGCAAGAAAGATTGTTAGAGGCAGCCTTTCCCATCAGGAAATTAGAGGTTTTACTTGTAAGAGATCATATGCTGATCTAAGCTGTCTTTCACCTCCTGCACCAGAGGGGCCGGGACCCTTATGTGCAGGTCTTCTCCAGCCCAGATATCTTCAGGCAGCAGGGGCTTCCACAAATCCAGCTGTGCAGAGGAGAAGAAAGAAATGCACAAGTCAAGCTCTGTTTTCAGAATGAGAAAACATATTTAAGACAGAGTAGCTGCATATCAATAAACGGAAGAAGTTTTCCTTCAAATTCTCCCCTTAACTATTGTCCAGCCATCTGTTCACAGAGCATACGGCACAGGCTTAGTGTTTCCATTGACTCAGGCACCGCTTGATAAGGAGCTGCACATTCATAGAGCCATGCAAGGAAACTAACTTCTTCCCATAAATTCTTTCAGGTAGTGGAAGGGCAATACCACCCTACACTAAGAAAAAAAAGTTAGGTAAAGCTTTTTCAAGTTTACTTTAACCTTCATTCCTGTCCAAAGTTATATGCAAATCTGTTTTACAGCCCAAGACCCCAGTCTGCTTTTTGGGCACATATAGTTATTCTTACTCACCAGTAAAGTGCTGCAAAGATGCTGAAGATGCTGGACTTGCTGAAATGTTTCTGGCACAATATGCAAAACCTGATCCCTGGAAATTTAGCAGAGAAACAAGATCAGTTTTAATGTCTGTTAAAGTATCCATGATTTTATAAATCAAAAGGAGATATTTTGTTATGTAGAAGGAAGACAGAGCATGTAACAGTGCTGTTCCAATAAAAACATGCCTGAGTGATGGATTCCTGGAATGTTTTAGCTACAAATAGGACTAAGTAATGTGAGTTTTCTGTTGCTAGAGCATTAGGTTAACTCTGTTTCCTTGCCAGTGGCAATTCTTTTTTCACCATAGCAGTGTCACTGAAGCCAATTGCTCACATGAGCACTGGTGCATGTTTCTGCCTTTGCAGGACCAGGAACAAAACAAGACCATTGGTATATATAATAACCTATTTATTTGATAAGATGGCACTTTTTTTTTCTCCTGTTCGGGAATTATTCAGTTATTCCAGATAGACGTGGTGCTTTGCTGATCTACTTCAGCATGCAAGAACATTAGATAGCCATGACAAAGGAACATTGATAAGAGCTTCAGATGTTGTCACAAAGTACTTCTCATGAGAATAGCCAATTTATTCCACAAATAGTGAGTAGTGTGGTCTCCAGAATTACATATTCTTGCTCAATTCGCAGGAAAAAAAATTTCTAGTGCAGGATCTATAATTGTACATTTCTAGAAAAGACACACAGATCCAATGTCTGTGTATATATTTTCAGGAGGCCCCATGAAACTTTAATTTACTACAGGCCTAATCTGAGAAAAAATATTGAAACCATATAAAAACCAAATTAAAATGGTTGGAAATGCAGAAGAAGCAAATCTGTATGTTCTATTAAAAACCCCTTTGTAATTATTTTTCTAATTTTTTTTTCAGTGTTCATTCAGATCAACTTTCCAGGACTGATGGCAAGTATGACATTTCTAATGAAAGGGTTTCACAATGAGGAGTGGATTCTGATGACTACATTACTCAAAGGTGAGATAGCAGTTATCCACTACTAAAGTGATAGAATGGGGAACCCGACAAATGTTCTTATTTGTTAGTAACCAGTAACTACTGCTTTACAGTCTCCTTCAGTGCCTTCAATGGGCCTTTACAAGACAAGTACAAAAAAAGAACATTCTACGTTTTAAACCTTTTGTAACAGAAATTCTTGTTGCAAAAGCCTTGCATGGCTTTTTATTAAAGCCATGGTCATTATGGTCATCAATATAATATGCTCTCATCATCTGAATTGCAACTGCTATCATTTGTGCTTCCATACACAAATGTACAATTATCAGCTTAATATACATGCAAATAGAATTCACTATTCATTCACATTATCCACTGAAAAATAGGGGGATTTGGGTTTTTTTTCATCTCTCTTGAAAATATTACCTTTGCTGATAGAGAAACATAGAACTTGATAGCTAAAATGAGCTGTTTACTACTGGTTCAGGAGATGCTGGTAACATATAGGACCCTCATCTACGGGGCAAAATGATTACATTTGCATTGCTAACAATTTGGTACAACAGCCATGATATCTTTGTAATAAACCTTGTAGATGCAGGATAAACATCTTTGCTAGGAGAATAAACATCTCAGCTGCAGTTCAGAGTTTATTCTCTCTAAATGCCTGGGCTTGCTTTGCTCTTTGTCTATCAGGAAGGGAAACAATATCCTGTAATATCTTTCTATCCTCATTGACATTATGTCTTAATTACACCAAATGAAAGAAATGCCAGACAGTCAGATTGCTGCCAGATGGCCAGCTCTTATTTACTGATAAACCTTTTACAATAGCCAGTGTGGAGACAAATCATTTTTAATAGTAAACTAAGATTAGAAAGCACACACTCATTTATGATTACGGACTAGGATTCTCAGTGGAGAAGTGCAAAGTCAGCCCACATGACCATGTGAGAACAACATTTTTAAAAATGCTACAGTTAAGCTTTCTTACCAAATTAAAGGACTGTTCTCAGCACAAGCTGTATTTCTTTGGATGCTCATAGATTGGATATTTCATTTAAGTTGTTGAACAGAGCAAATGGCAATGAAAATGGGCTTTACTAGTAATTTCATCTTTGTGCAGGTGGTGCCCACCCAAAGTCACCCTAACCATTTGATTAAGTGTGTTTTTAAATCCCATGCAAGTACTCAACAGGTTCAGTCCTGGACAGTAATTAGAAGCAAAAATTAACACTACATTACCAAGGGTCTGTTGAATTCTATTCAGTGAAATCAGCAGGCTCTGACTGCATCCCTGATACAAATCTAAAGACTAAATATTATCCAAGGGAAATAACACATTTTAAAGAGAGAAGTAGTGACTGTATGCTCTGCCAGAAGCTTTGCCAGGAGAGCTGTTGAACAGGTATACAGTGAAGAAACTTATTTGCAGAAGGTATTGCTTGGTTTTCTCTCCTTTTAAAAACTATATTCTGGGAATATAATTAGTCTAGAGGCATTCAGCACTGGGCTATTTTCTCTGTTTACTTTAGAAAATTCCATGTGTAAAGTCATATGTGGATGGCTGGACTCCACACTATATTTGTGCCCCTCCTGCAAATCCCAACTGCTGTAAAAGCCGAGTGACCTATCATTCCTTGTAAAGTTGAGGGTGAATTAAACAAAATGGTTTAGGTAGGCAAACAGCATAATTTTATATCACTCTTTTTCTTATGAAGCAGAACTGAGAATGGAGAAAACAGCAAAACTAGAGATTTCGTACTTTTCAAAAACATTAATCAGTAATAAAAAATGTGATAATCTCATTCTCTGAACACTTTGGGGTGAAGATTGTCTGGACGAAATTCATTAGCTTTTTTTTGTTATTGTTACAGATTTCCAACAGGGATTCTGTATCTGAGCTGCTTTTGAGACACCATCTTTTTCACATATCCTCAGCTGTCTTTTATTAATGGATATAATTTTGCTCAGTCATCTCCCCCGACTTTATACTCAGAAAAGACATTTTATTCCTATAGCATCTGATTTCAAAGATCATTATAAAAGAGGCTAAGCCAAATGAATTTTAGCTAATGGAAGCAGAACATCCTGAGGTGCGTTTGAGGGGCATTTTCTGTCTCCTACTGCTGCAGCTGTATCTTTGTTGGCTTGGATTTGGTTCACTCTTTCTTCATTTCCCATCTTTATGTTTTCTTTCCAAATCTTACAAAGCTTACAGCTTTGTAACCCTGTCTCCAGGCTTTCAGTTCATAATCATTATTATTATTCTTACACAGTTCCTGGGAATTTCACTGCATCCACAGCTCTTCATGATACCCCATTCACACTCACCTGTCATATTGCAATTTCAAGCTGAGTTTTCCAGGAATCATCATCCCCAGAGAAAAGATGATCCCAAGAAAAAGCCTCATTTTTGGGCAAAGAACCCAGCCTCAACAGTGCAGGACTAGAGAGGAGGAGGATAGATCCAGACTGAACACTTTATCTGCACAATTATAATATATAACCAGATTTATCCTGGAAGGGAACCTGCCCTTGTTGAATCTTTAACTTTTTAATAGTCCTTTAATAGTCTAACTCTCATCTAAACCACTTCTAGTTGGACCAGATGAGCCTCTGGCCCCAGACTATCAACTTCACATTCTCATAAAGAGTGGTTTTGTTATATACTCAAAACAGTGAGACAGTTACTATTTAAAATATTTAATTTCTTGCTTAGTTCATATCATATATCATACATCAAGATTAAACACTTGAATTCCTTCCGGGTCCTTTCCAAGCCAAAACATTCTATGATTCTATGATACAGTTAGACATATAGCACAGTTCTTCAGACAGAAATTGTCTCAGCTTCTCTCTTGGGTTAAAGCTATCCCATGGTGATTTAATGGACAAAACTGCATGGATTTTGGGTGAAGAGGGTCCAGTAAGTCAGTTTGTTTGTGTATACACACAATGGACATTAACTGTAATTATAGTACCTTTGTAAATCTTTCTCAGCAAGGTATGAAGTCCTCCTATATTACTACCAAGGCTGTCATCAAGGAAACAGGCAGCAGAACTGTCCCAGTATAAAAGAGGAACAGCATAACTCAAAAGTGTGTTCTTACAAAACCAGGCTGCATGCAAGAGAAGACTATGTTCTTCATAAATCACACCAGACCCTTCCCATTTTATTGCCACACACTATATCCTGCTCAACAGCTTGGACCTGAAGATGGTATTTCCCTCCATGTAGCTATCCAACCCACGGTGACTTCCAGAAGAGCTGAAAGAAGTCCAGTTTACAGGATTAGAGGCACCTCCATTTGCAAGGAATCAGAAAAACAAACTCATGTTGGAAGATCATATTCCATATTGACACTCAGGACATCTGCTCAGATAACCTTTGCTTTTTCCTCCTTTGTCTCCACCACTGCTATTAGCTGGACTAATGTTTTGAAGTCTTCTGCAATCTTGTCTGGGCCCTTTTACTAGAGCTGGCTTTGAACTGGAGTTCAGTCCCTTGACAGGGACTCAGAATCTAGGAACAAGAAAAATGGAGGCACAGAGGAAAAAAACAAAAGACTTTATTTTTTCTCTTGCAAAAAAATATGCACAAATAGAGCAAATCATGATGCATGCTAAAATCCAGCCCAAAGCTTACACCTCCATGCTGAAAGCAGAAGCTATTTATTCTGTGGTGGAAACATTACTCCTATGATGCCAAATAGTTATGAAGATAGATAGGGTCATTTTGCTTAATGGGCATAGGATTCAGAAGAAATGATAGTTGCTTGCTAGGTCTTTGATTCAAATTCCTTTGATGTCTAGTTGATTTTAATGGGCTTTAGATGAAAGTCCTGTGCAAATAATCATGGACATTTCTCACTGATTTAAAAAATGGACTTGTTTTGGGACATCAGCAGATGATTTGTTCATAAAAGACAATACTTAAGTATGTACTTAACGTTCAGCTTGCAAGCAGCACTGCTGAATTCAGAATAAAAACCATTAGAGACATTATTCTAACACCGATGCAAACATATCTTGGGACAGTTAACTTCAACAAGCCTATTGCCCTCTTGGGCATAAACAATGTCTCTATCAGCAATAAAGTCCGTTCTTTGGTCAAGTTCTTACTGGCAGCTGCTTATCTTTCTAGCAAGTGTGGAAGGCAGCTTAATTCATTTATTGCCTCCTTGAAAATTGTGTGCAAAAAGGCATGGGACATTCTGGGGAGAGGAAAGGTCATAAGCATATGGCACAAACATGCCATATGAAACCATGTGGTGTCCTTTCTTCCAAACAAGTTTACTTTGCAGTTCTTCCATATGTTCTTCTTAGAGCTTCAGAACATTTTTTTCAGCATCAGTTTAGCCTCTCAACTGCCCTGTGAGACAAGCAAATATTATTTCCACTACTTAAAAGATTAAGAAAAAAGGGGAAAAAAGTGATTCCCCAAGGTGACATAGGAACACTGCTGCAGAGCCAGGAATAGAATTCAGATCTCCTGACTCCCTGTCTGGTGCTTCCTTAAATATATGACCATCTGCTCTCCTGCTGGAAGTATAGATACTATATGCTGACTCCAACAAGCTGGCTGCTAAGCCTGTTAGTTTATCCTCTTTTTATCCCATACTGATATCATCTCAAGCTAAGCTTTTGGCCTGGAGTCAAAGTGATTTCCAGTGTTTGAATGATTCGACCTGCTTGTTATTGTTTTAACCTTGCACCACACATATGCTCAGCTATTTGTGACTTATCTGCATACAGGCTGTGTAGCAACAGCCGCAAGCTAGAACTGTTTTGTTTAAAGATTCCATACTGAAGCATACCACATGTTTTAAACAACTATCATATAGCGGTGAGTTTGATCCCTGTAGCTGCCTGCACCCAGATTTCCTACTGAGCTGCATGTAACTTTCAAGGATAAAGAACTTATTAAAAAGACAAAAATCTTACATACTTGTGTGTCTCCACAAACATTGGTTCATCTTGTTAAGCTTTCCCAGTTCCACAGCTAAATCCTGCACTGACTCCATCTGTACTGAAAACCAAACTAGAACTAGATGGAATTCAATATGATCAACATTTTTTTAAATCATCACTTTGATTCTGAGTAATCATCCTCCAGTAAATCTTCTTCTCTCATTGCTGCAGAAAACTCACAGTATGTGTCCAAGAGAGAATCACCACTCAGTATGATCAATACAGTAGCATGCTCACTAATGTGCCTTAAATCCTAATCTTCTGATCCACTGAAGAAGGGGGGTGGATAATTCAGCTGTTTTACTAAAATATCCTCTGGTTATCACTGTAGCTTTACTTGGAGGAAGCACACAATGAATTGACAGTTCTGTTTCCCCTTGACTTGTCATAAGAGATGGCTTATTCTATAGGTATTAACTTTTTCTATGAGAACTAAAACATATTTCTGTCTTTCTGAGCAATGTTCAAAATATTCCAATTAATTATACAATATTAAGTATATGGTCTTAATTCTGTAGCATAAGAATATTCAGCAATGCATTGTGCGGTCTGCAAAGTGAATCATTGTTCCTCTCAGTATGCCAAGACTTCAGCTTTCACAGCTTTGTTAGAGAAAGGTTTTTCTGAAATTCTCTGGACTCTATTGTGATTTGACAGTGCTAACTGTTCTCAAGCCTCATTAGCTCCAGCAACAATCCTAGCATAAGTGGGAATATAATAGAAGCTATGCTGAGTTACGGCTAGAGTAATCTTGCTGAGTTTTCCTCTCTCCCTCTTTTTCTGAGGTTACACTGAAAACACCCCATTAACCTTACATTTGGGATCTTAAAATAATCTTAAACCAGAAAGAATTCCAGCCAACATACACTAGATCAGAATGACATTACTAACAAACATGAAAATTAGTTACATTAAGCCAATCTTAAATGTCCTGCAGATCAAGTGACACAGGATACTTAAAAGCTTTAGATTAGTGGAACTAGTTTGATGACTGGTATGTGATCTAGTACTTTCAAGAGATACACATTTACAGATACTTTCAAAGATGTCTCTGTAGTTTTTACAGCATTTACACACATGCATACTCACATATTTTGAGCCCAAACTGGAAATAGCAGTGTGTTGTGTCAATGTGGGAAATAACACCTGCCTTTTCTCCACAAGTCCCGTGATGCAGTTTTTAGACAGCTTTGTTATCAGAGAGGAACTTCAAGTACCTGTTCAGTAAGCAGTTCCTTATGGAAGTGGGCTGAAGCAGGCTGACAAAATCTGTATTGGTTTAATTAGGCTGGCAGAGCAGCTTCCTCAGGCACCATTTTCCTTAACCAGGAAAGGAGAATGTTACTAGCTAATTGTCTTTCCTTAATAACAGGTGACCTGGGTTGTTGTTTTTCCTTCATCCTTTAGAGAGCAAAATGTCACTGCTAAGGAACCTTGAGCTGGTCCTTTAACATACAATCTGAATTCAAGATGATATCTACCACCTATTATTAACAGGTAATTAACACTGGTGGTTCAGTTCTAGGAGTTAACTGTGATCACTTTTATGAAGAATTGTACACAAAATCCTATAGTCCTTATGTAAACACAATTCCTATGGGAAATTTGTCTGCATAAGGACTGTGCAATTTATCTTGAAAAATAAAGTATATTTGAAGTGCAATGGTAAATTGCTGAACCTGAAGTCCATACATACAAGCTGGCTGTAAAATATTGCCCTTGTAATTTGATCAAAGGAAAGATTCAGTTTCCTGACAGCTTTTAATGTGCCTGAATCTACTGCCAGAAAGACCAGTTAGACTTTCTCACTCACCTTCTCCAGTTCTGAAAACTTACCCTCATAAGAATACCTTCTGATGACATGATTAGAACTTATGATTTCAAAGATATTGCTCTGGGGGAAAAGGATTTGCAGAAGTGTTTGATCCTATATTGATGTTCTGAGTGGGCAAGAATTAGGCAATAATCCTTGATTTTGTGAAGAAACAAAACTTCTTGTAAACCTTTAGCTGTCAAAGCAATATGTTGTTTGTTTTAATTAGGCCTTTTTAAAGAAGATGTCACATAACATTAAAAGCCTATCTTGTATTTTTAAATAAAATAATTACCTTTAAGTAAATAAACTAGTTTTATTTTATTGCTACTAGAAGAACTGTAAAGGACAGCACATAAGTCTCTATTATTGCTTAATGGTTAAAAAACAAGCTTACTGCACTGTATTCTAGAATAACCAGCATTATTTGTAATGAGTTCTATTACAAGCACTGAAATACTTTATGATTAGATGAGAATATGCCTGCATATGATTTCTTAGACCCAAACTATATACACTATATTAATTTTAACTTAAGTAATTAGCTTTTGCAGCTATAAAACATGTTCATATTAACCTTTGGCCTCCATTCTATCAACTATGATACACATACTTAGCTTTCTGTTT